AATGTGATAAACATGTTTTAAATGTCTTTTTCAATAAATTTCAGTCCATTAATATACCATGTTTTTCAGGGGCATTGATTCAATCTATTATTACATTAATTACATAGAAAACCCCCCTTTAAAAAAAAAACTCTTATATATTTGTATGATCTTGGGAAATCTTGGGAAATTTGTTCACCACATCTTGGGAAATTTGAAAAAAGTGAGTGGCAGCCCTGCTAAGGGGTCGGTCTTGCCCCTCCAGAGATCTAGTAGGTCGTGCTCGGGTAGGGCAGCGGTAGGGTAGGATTTTTTATTTTTTTTTAAAGTAACCAACTTAGAGCAACTTTTTAAAAATTAATTATGATTATGTTTAGAGTCCAGCTATGAATTGATGTTATTTGTTTTCATGCTTTAAAGGAAATAAAATTACTAGCTAGATATTTCTCAAATAGTACTCAGTAGTAACAGTACTACAGTAATATTTAGCATATTATATGCTCCATGGGTGTGTGACGTATACACCCCCCACCCGACTACGACGGTGGTTCCTAAAATTGATCGATTCCCGGCACATATGACAAATTCAGGTTTTCACATACGCCCTTTGTACAATTATTTTTAAAAAAAAACAATTCGAAAAGCGAATAAAGTAACATAATAAATGACGTGTTGGGTAAAACCAAATAAAACACTTATGTGAGTCGCTAAGTGTCATCTAGTAACTGAAAACAGCAGTTACTCAAGTGGGGTAGGCTACTGTTTGCACCACGACCGCTAGATGTCACATTGTATTAAAAGTGGAAATACAATTTTGAAAAGTGTCATATTTCGCGGCGCCCCTGTAAGGAAGCCGAGACAACCCAGGACGGGACCATGCCGAGACAACCCAGGACGGGACCATGCCGAGACAACCCAGGACGGGACCATGCCGAGACAACCCAGGACGGGACCATGCCGAGACAACCCAGGTCAGGACCATGCCGAGACAACCCAGGACATGGCCATGGCGAGACAACCCAGGACGGGACCATGCCGAGACAACCCAGGACGGGACCATGCCGAGACAACCCAGGACAGGACCATGCCGACACAACCCAGGACGGGACCATGCCGAGACAACCCAGGACAGGACCATGGCGAGACAACCCAGGACAGGGCCATGGCGAGACAACCCAGGACGGGACCATGCCGAGACAACCCAGGACAGGACC